TACATATGTATGTATACATACTGTCGCTGTCTTTCTCGCATGCCTGACCTCCGCGACCACACCAACAAGAGCCATTATTCAGCATATTACTAGAAAGAGACAGAGCTCTCAGCACTCCCAGGGCTCATCAGCACTTCCCCTCCCCACAATATCCCTTCTGCAGAAGTCCAAGACTCCCCTGCCACCATCCATTTCCAGCTGGAAGCTTGAATGGCAGCCAGAGAGAAAAGTTAAGTTTCCCAATACTGTCAACTAAATGCCGGGTCAGCTGGGATGGATTTCACACATGGAAAGGAAAGGGCGGGAGTTGTTTCAAAACCCTCATTGCATCCTTACATTCGTGTTTCAAGCAGAAAGTTTAGCAAGAGAGACACCCCCAGTGCTGTTGCCCGATTACTTACCAAAGCAAATAAATAAATAGATTAATTACAGCTCTCAGCTCCTCAGCCACTAACGCCAGAAGTACCATCCCACTCGACCACACCACAAACAGGCCTTGCCCCGTGCCCACCAGCTCAATTAAATCAGGCACAGGGACGGCACGACCCCATGTCTCGCATCCCCAAGGATGAGTGGTCCTTGCAGCTCAGCAGATGCCCCATGACCACACATTAATAAGCTGTGTCACCCTTGCGGGATGAGCCATGCCATTCCACGCTTGTTACACAGCCCAAACCGTCCTGACTGTGCTCCAAAGCCCTTTTGGATTTGAGGTGCTGATGCAAGGGAGAGCGGACCACAGCCCTAATGCTGATGTTAAGGAGGTCATCACCCAAACAAGACATCCTGGAGAAAAGGCGCTGGCAGGTCTCAGCTTGGCAGCTCTGGCAGAGGCGGATGTAGCGCTGTATCCTGTCTCCCACAGCAGCAGCGAGATGCTCTGGGAAACACCATACGAAACAGGGTACACACAGAGCAGCCCTTCCTCTGCTATTCCCCCCCCAGCTTCTGGCAGGAAAGACAGTCCTCTACGACTTGTTCAGATGGCTCTTGATGGAGAAACAACCCCATTAACACGCCCAATGTGGCTGACCATAACAGCTCAGTCTTCCCCGCACAGATCTGTGCACACACAAACCTCCTCAGGACATGCACCACCACCTTCCGAGGACTGTAGAGGCTTTACCAGGGGTCATTCCAGCATTAGACTCAACCAGGGTTCCATGCAAGAAGCGGGGAACACTTGGTAGTCCTGGGAAGGGGCAGTCCCACTAGGATGACAACAGGACTCTAAAGTACCCAGACCCCAAAGGCATTAACCTCTAATCCTGCACCTATAGCTCGGGTGCTGCCTCTTACCTGTTCTCCAGCAGCGTCATGCACACCACCTCCCGCACTCCTGGGTTGTTGGCTTTCTCGATGGAGCAGCTTTGCAGGTTCCAGGTAGCCACCCTCAGGACAGGTCTGCCGTCCCTCACCCCCCCAAACATCTCCACAGAGGGGCGAGTGGATATGATCTGGGTCGGACCCCCGGGGGGGAAGTCCAAGTCCTCGCTCTGGAGGCTCAGAGACGTGGGGCTGGGGTGAGGCTTGGCGGTGAAGTGGAGGCCACCATTGGTGTTCGTCGAAGGGGGCCGGGAACGCTCCGCAAAAATCTGATGCCTGATTTTGTCCAGAAAGGAGGAATTGATGCAGTCCATCCTCACCAGGTCCTCGATGCTTTTGAAAGGGCCGTGCTCTTTACGGTAGTCCACGATGCTGTTGGCGATCTTCTCGGTGATGCCGCGGATGCTCATGAGCTGCGCCGGGGGGGCCGTGTTAATGT